CACCTCATTTGGATAGATGGCGACTCCATCCATTTTGACACGTCAACAGTATAGCAACAATGATGGCTAGCTCTGCTCTTTTGGTTATGCTACAAGTTCAACTGTGGGCGTTAATTATCATAATTTTGGCGGCTAGCATTCGAATTGTGGTTTTTGGATGGTTGCAGTTTCCCCTCATTTGTGAAATTATTGTCTCAACATGTTCTCAAAGAGTCTTTAACAGGAAAATGAAGCCTTGGCTGGTCAATTTACAATAACATTGAAAGATCTTTTGTGGTGTAGATCGAGCAGTTTCCAGATCTCCAGGTTGAAATTCTATAGCTTGTTTGGTTAGCTATGTTGGAACTTTCAATTTCTGTGTTTTATTTGGTATATTTTAACATTTCCTGGTTTTTATGAGACTGTGATCTGAATATATGTGCCTTTTCTCGTGTAAAACACTATGGGCCTATTTGGTGTGACTTGTGAGAGCTTTAACTTTTTGAGTACTATTATGAGTGATAAGTTTAAATTTTTATTGGAGGGAAAATAGAGTTTTAGCTTTTAGGAAGGTGAAAAAAAGAGTGAAAAATAAGTAAAAAGGGAGTTTATGAAAAGTTTGGATTTGAAACTTTTGAACTTTTACTGTTTAAGAGGTTTTTGAGATTAAAAAAATATTTAAAAGTGTAAGTTTTTAAGAGAGAAATTTAAATTCATGAGACATGAATAGTGTCCAAAAGCTGAAGCTCCTAGGAGCTGCACCAAACAGGCTCTATATATATAATATGGTCATGTTTGGTTGCTTTTCAGATTTCTTGTGCTGTCGAAGAAGCTAATTCTATATTCCTTGATTTTTCGTTGATGTTGAACCAGTTGTTCTAGCTGGCTTCATATAAGTTTTTTAGTCACAATAGTTGTATTAATAGATCGGTGTTTGTAACCTGATTTTGTTTGGTAGGAGTATCATTTTTTCGTTTTGGAATAGCAAAAAGAACGATTTTATTATTACTCCCTTGGTGGTTTCACTTTTTAACTTTTAAACAAAAAGTTTAGATAAAAATTTAACCTAATATATAAATGATAAATAAGTATTTTTTTTATCGAGTAAATCTCCCTTGGTGGTTTGCTTCTTCCTCTAGAGCATTTGAAACAAGCAGTGCATGGCATTCCCTATGAGCTAAGCAAGGGAAAGTGCCATGGCACAGGTTGGTTTGGTTCTCACATGTGATTCCCAAGCATAGTTTCATTTGATGGCTAGTGATACTGGACAGTTTAACAATGAGAAGTAGACAGAAGAATTGGACTCCTAATATTGATGATACTTATTTTGCAGCCTAGTAGTAGAAACTAATGATCACTTGTTTTTTCAATGTCAGTTTACAAAGCAAGTATGGCAAACTGTTTGTGGCATAGCAGGAATTCCTTTATTTTGTTTTTGGCAAGGGCTACTAGCTTGGTTAGGGAAAAGGATTAGAAGGAAGTCCCTATACTGTTTTCTTATAAAGCTTGCATGGAATGCTATTGTGTATCATGTTTGAAGAGAAAGGAATGACAAAATTTACAAACAACGTTTCAAATATGATTCACAGATTGTGAATGATATTTTTTTTTATGTGAAGAACAAGGTTTTAGCCTTTGCAATATTAAGGAATATAATCTTTCTCATTAAAGTGTATATATTATTGAGTATATCTGTATTTAGATTTATGAATTTATGTATTTGCCTTTTATGTTAGGGTATACGGCAAAACTACTCTGTATATATACTTGCAAATATTAGTCAAATAAACATCAAGCTTTCTTTACTTGCCTTTGATATTTTACATTGGTATCAAAGCTTCCTCTCTAACGAGTTCCTAATGGCCAAAACCTCCACAGCCTCTGCCTCTGGTGATTCCTCCCCAACCTCTAGTGACATCACCAACAACCCCAACTCTACAGCCACCATCATCAACCGAGTTGCCCGTGGACCCATATCCTTTAATCTCGCTGCTTTTCGCTTAAAGCTAATACCCACAAATTATCTCTCTTGGAAAACCCAATTCACCAGTCTCCTTGCTGGGTATGAATTGCTTGGTTACCTGGATGGGACTCATCCTTGTCCTATGGGACTCATCCTTGTCCTATGGCTACAGAGCTAGATTATAGCCTTTGGGCCCGACAAGATCAACTTTTACGCCATGCTCTAATTACCTCCGTCTCAGAGAATATCATGCCTTACATTGCTGCAGCACTCACTGCTCAACAAGCATGGGAAACGTTGGCCCATCTCTATGCCAATAGGTCTCAAACTAGAGTTATCACACTCAAAGAATGGTTGCAGAACATGAGGCGTGATGGACGGTTGGTCTCTAATTATTTGCGCTCCCTCAAAGCTGTTGCAGATAAGCTTGGCACAGTGGATAGACCCCTCACTAATGATGACTTGACCGTCTACATTCTGAATGGATTGGGTCCTGAATTTCGTGAAATTGCTGCCTCTCTCAGAACTTGTGATTCCTCTCTTTCCTTCGATGATCTGCACGATCGGCTAGTTGCTCACGAAGAGAGTCTTCGTAGAGAGGAAATTAAACTTGAATTTGCTCCGGTGAGTGCTCATTATGCTGCTTTTCCCACTCACGGTTTCTCTGCAGGTGCCTCTTCCACATCGTCGACGACATCATCTGGTTTGCTTCCAACACCCTCTATTGGGCGCATCCCCCAATTTGGTCAGCCAACTCGCAACAATCGTGGTGGGCCAACTTATAACAGGCCCAATTTTAACAACAACAGGAGACGCTCTAATCGGCCAAATAATAGACCCACTACAATGGCCTGCCAATTATGCAACAACTCAGGCCACTTTGCCCGCAATTGTCCCTTCTATAGAATGCACCAACAAGCCCCTATTGCAAATGTTGCCACTTCCTTCATTGAAACAACGATGAGTGGCTTTTGGATTCTGGGGCAACAAACCATGTGACCACAGATTTGGCAGACCTTCACTGCATTCTGAATATCATGGTCCGAATGAACTCCAAATTGGAGATGGCATAGGTTTGCAAATTACACATGTGGGACATGCCACCCTTTCCACTCCTTTTACTTCTCTACCTTTGAAAAATATTCTATGTGTTCCTCATGCTTCTCGAAACTTAATCTCTGTTTCTCAATTATGCAAATCAACCAATGCTTATGTTGAATTTCACCCTAACTTCTTTTTGGTGAAGGATCCGTGCACGGGGACGACATTGGTGCGTGGTCAAAACAAGCATGGAGTCTACCAACTCCAAGCAAAAATTAATCCTAGGCCTATTGCACTAATTGGAGAACGTGTCTCTTTGGCACACTGGCATTCCCACTTAGGTCATCCTTCAACAAAACCCTCAAATCTATTATCAATGTTTTCAATATTCCAATTTCTAATAAAAGTGATTTTTCCTTGTGTGACTCTTGTGTTTGTTCCAAAAGTCATAAACTCTCTTTTTCCAATTCATCTATTACATGCAATCTTCCTCTTGAGCATATTTACTCTGATGTGTGGAGACCTGCCCCACTCACTTCCCATGATGGGTACAGATATTTTGTCTTGTTCATTGATTATTTTAGTCAATATATTTGGATATACCCCTTAAAACAAAAGTCTGAGGTTGCCTTGATTTTTCCTCGTTTTAAAAAACTTGTTGAAACTCAATTTGGGCATAAAATCAAGAACTTCCACTCTAATGGAGGAGGTGAATATGTGGCCTTACGAGATTTTCTTTCTCACCATGGAATTTCTACTTTTACTAACCTGCCATACACCCCTGAATTAAATGGAATTTCTGAACGTCGTAATTGTCTTATTGTCGAAACTGGACTTACTCTTTTACACACTGCTTCTTTACCTCCTAAATTTTGGTCTTTTGCTTTACAAACAGCAGTGTACTTGGTTAACCGTCTTCCTACACCTGTTTGTCTTCTATATCACCCCTAGAAAAGTTGTTTCACATTAAACCCAACTATTTAAAATTACGTGTTTTTGGTTGTCTTTGTTATCCTTGGTTACGTCCATATAACACCAACAAGCTTCAACCTCGGTCTCGTCCTTGTCTTTTTCTGGGTTATTCGATTGAAAATCTTGGCTATAAATGCCTTGATTTGCAATCTACCAAATTTTTTTATTCTTGGCATGTTGTTTTTAATGAGTCTAAGTTCCCATTTCAAAATTCTCCTACTTCCCCAATTTCTTCCTATGATTTCTTTTCTTCTACACAATTCCCAATTCAAGATCTACATGCAGTGCCAGTTCTGCCCCTCTCTTATGTGTAATCTGAGCCCCTCACTAATTTTCCAACCACGACACCAGTCCCTTTTGCACCAGATCTTTCGCCATCATCATCTTCTCCTCTCTCGGTTGGCCTCCACCGCACTTAAGCCCAACCCAATCAGCTTCACTACCTCCACCATCCACACCCAATTCCAGTCCAACTAGGTTAGTTTCCACAGACACTATCTCCACTTCCTCTGACCAAGTTTCCACAACCCAAATTTCTACAAATGATGCCCCACCTATGCCTGTACGTACCCACCCAATGACTACTCGTTCTCAACATAATATTTTCAAACCCAAGGCACTCTTTTAGGCCTCTAAACTTTCCCCTACCATCCCTGTTGAGCCCACCTGTGCAACTCAAGCCTTAAAAGATCCAAATTGGAGAAAGGCCATGTCTGAGGAGTTTAGTGCTTTGGTTCACCAAGGAATGTGGGACCTAGTTCCTGCTCACCCAAGTCAGCATCTCATTGGTTCTAAATGGGTTTTCAGACTGAAGCACAATCAGTATGGCAATATTGAGCGTTATAAGGCACGCTTGGTGGCTAAAGGATTTCATCAAAGACCAAGTTCTGATTATTTTAACACTTTCAGTCCAGTTATTAAGCCTACTATTATTCAGATGATCTTATCTATTGTAGTTAGTTGTGGGTGGCTTATCCAGCAATTGGATGTGAATAATGCTTTTCTTCATGGCAAACTTGATGAGAAATTGTTTCTGCAACAACCTGTGGTCTTTGTAGATCTGGACAAGCCCACTCATGTTTGCAGGCTTTGGAAGTCAATTTATGGGCTTAAACAAGCTCCACGGGCATGGTACAAGGAGCTTAAGGCATTTCTTCTGTTTGAGGGCTTTCATAACTCTAAATCTGATAAATCACTATTTATACTTCACAAGGATTCTACTGTGATCTACTTTTTGGTCTACGTGGATGACATCATTCTCACCGGTAGTGATCTTCCTGCCATCCAACACCTAGTTCAGTGAATGGGCAGCCGCTTTTCTCTCAAAGAACTCAGCCCTTTTAGCTATTTTCTTGGTGTAGAGGCCATCAATACCACAGTTGGCTTATTTTTATCCCAACAAAGATACATCTCAGATCTCTTGCACAAAACCGGAATGGCTGATGCTAAGCCCGTCACTACCCCTATGGCTTCCTCTGCATCCTCTCTCCATTCCATTGGCACGGCCCTCTCTGATGGCACTGATTATCAACGAGTGGTTGGTTCTCTTCAATACTTAGCTCTTACTGGTCCCGACATCTCATTTGTGGTCAGCCGATTGTCTCAGTTTATGCATTGTCCCACAGATACTCATTGGCAGGCAGCCAAGCATGTGTTGCGCTACTTAAAAGGCACTTCTTGTCATGAACTGCTCTTGCGCCCTCAGTCTTCCCTTTTGCTGCATGCCTTTTCAAATGCTGATTGGGCTGGCGATCGTGCTACTTGTGTCTCTACCACAGGTTATATTGTTTTTCTTAGGTCTAATCCTATTTCCTAGCGTGCCACAAAGCAAAAGGCTGTTGCACGTAGCTCTATAGAAGCGGATTAACGAGCCTTAGCTGCCACTGCATCTAAACTTCTATGGATTCGCAATCTGCTCTCGGAATTGGGGATCCCTGTTTCAGCTTCTCCTGGTATCTTTTGTGATACGTTAGTGCCACCTACCTCAGTGTGAATCCTGTGCTTCATTCACGTATGAAACACATTGCCATCGATCTACATTTCATCCGTGATCTGGTTGACAAGAAGCTTTTTCATGTCTCTCACATTTCCTCTCATGATTAGCTCGTTGATGGTTTAACCAAACCATTGTCTTCCACTTGTTTTCAGCTCTTAAGGTCCAAGATCAGAATCGCAAATGGCTCGTCCGTCTTGCAGGGGCGATATTAAGGAATATAATCTTTCTCATTAAAGTGTATATATTATTGAGTGTATCTGTATCTTAGATTTATGAATTTATGTATTTCCCTTTTATGTTAGAGTATACGACGAAACTGCTCTGTATATATACTTGCAAATATTAGTCAAATAAACATCAAGCTTTCTTTACTTGCCTTTGATATTTTACATGCAACACCAAATTCTTCTTCATCACCAATATCTATAGCAATGCAGTGGGGGCTTGTAGAGGTCCTAAAATCACCAATACAGTCGTAGATGAAATCTCTCTTTGATCGGAGTTGTAATTGATTGTAGCAGTAAATGACTTGCTGCTTCTGTGTATATACTAATTTTATTGGATAAATAAAACTCTACATTTTATCTAAAGAAAAAAAAACACTATTTATAACGAAAAGCAAATTTTCGATAGGTACTCAAATTACCGGCATGGCTTCACGCAAAACTAAACTAGAGTAGAGTAATTAAGATAAAATATAAGCTAATGATTCCTGCTTTGCACTTTTAGAAAGACACGTTGAATGTAACGTGTGAAGTGCTTGCCACAGAAGCCCTTCAAAAAGATGGTGTTGGTGTCGTTGTTAGCCCAAGGGCTGTTTTGCATCGATCGTTGGGTCTAGATACTTAAGTCTGCATTCATTGGTTCGGGGGATGGTAGCTTCTAGTTGATCAAGTCCAAGGGGCTTAAGAAGAGGGTTTACACTTTTAGAAGGCACGTTGGATGCAATGTGTAAAGGGCTTGCCAAGAAAGCCCTTTAAACAGATGTGTCGGTGTCGCCATTAGCATAAGAGCTACTTCGCTTCAATCATTCGGTTCAGGGGCTTATGTGTTAGTATTTTAGTTTGGAGACTAATAGCTTACGGTTGGTAAAGTTCAAGGACTTAAGAAGGGGTTTTGCCCTAGAATCAAAGGTTGGGGGAAAAGGGGAGTTTGAACAAGCTAAGATATTGAGGTTTGGAGACGAGGGTGAGGCTCGAAATCCTGAGCTGAGTTCGGGGTTAAGGGAACAACGAGATTTATTCCTCTTGGACTCTGGTTTGAACACTGGACTGAAGGATGGGCCGTTCAATTATGAATTGTGATATTCTAACAATCAAAACTTGACAATGCCAAATAATTATATTCCAATTAATATAAAGGATTTTTTAAAGTGTACGTGTCTTTATACATTGTTAAGTATCATTAATTATAATATTTATAATTAATTTTATATAAAGTTTTATATCAAATTCAATTAAAATAAAATATAAAATGTAAAATAGAAATAAAATATAATGTTTGTAATCAAAATATGTAAAAAGGTATAAATTTTGTTTAAATATTTGTAAAAAAATTAATTACATATACCGTAATTAATGTGGATTAAGACAAATATTAAACAAACTCACATCTAGATTCTGCACGTGCGAGATCATTAGAGAAATGTTGAGGAAGCAATAATAAATAAATATTTTTTGATCATGTGAATCTACTAAACAAGAACAATTTATAGGAAAAAGAAAATTTTACTTTTGTATTCATTTTTGTTGGTATAGCTTAATGCAAAACTAGACTAGAGCAAGATAATATATAAACCAAAGCTACTTATTCCCGTTGTGCACTTTTAGAGGACACGTTGGATTCAATGTGTAAAGGGCTTGCCACAAAGGCCCTTTAAAAAGATGACACTGGTGTCGTTAGCATAAGGGCTTATTTGCTTTGATCATTGGCTTTAGGAGCTTCTGTGCTCATTTTTTGATCCAGGGACTGATAGCTTCTAGTTGGTAAGTCTTGGGGCTTAAGAAGGGGTTTTGCGCTTTTAAAAGACACATTGAATGATGCAACGTGTAAAGTACGTGCCAAGAAAGCCCTTCAAGCAGATGACGTTAGTGATGCCGTTAGCGTATGGGATAATTTGCCTTAATTGTTGGGTTCAAGGGCTTATGTGGTTATTTTTTAGTTTTGGAACTGGTAGTTTATAGTTGATAATGTCTAGGGGCTTAGGAAGGTGATTTGCCTAGTATCAAAGGAACGAAGAAGGGGAGTTTGAAGTTTGAACAAGCTAAGATGTGGAGGTTCGGAGACAAGGGCGAGGTTCTAAATCCGGAGCTAAGAGATTTATTTCTCTTGGGCTATGGTTTGACCACTGAAATGATGAGTGGGCCGTTTAATGACAGTGGCCTGGTCTGCTTTCCATTTTATAAGTAGGACTCATGAGATGCCAACTGTCGGCTTAATAGGAGAAAGGAGGAGTGGGAAAAGGTTTCTCTTTAGAATGATACGGAGGATCATTT